AGGGAAAATATTTGTATTCTATCTTACAAGAACAATAGAGCGCTTAATTCCTGCCGAAACGGATCATTTCGAATAATGTTCGACAGGTTTTTTTTTTTAAATCGCAGATAGAAATAAATGGAGGAGAAAATTTTTTGCAAGTTCCACAGCATACGTTCTCTTAGAATGAGCTGTGAGACTCCCTCTTTTTTTACAGAGAACCTATCAAAAAGTCTCTAAAACCTTAAAGCATCAGCAAGTAGCTATCCTTAGCAAAATGATCTTAATTGAACTATCTTAGGAACACCCAACATGCCTAGTTTAATTTTAATTTCAGAGAAAGAAAGAGGTTTTTAGAACTTCTAGAATGTTCTGAAATACCTTTCTACCTCTGCCTGAAATCCTAAATTTGATGGCAATGGAGAGTTCCCGATAGAGAATACTCTGCCGACCGTTCCAGCAAGTTTCCACCTATTTGTGTAAACGGTTTCCTTCTAACTGATGTCTTCATCCCATCCGGTGAGATGTAAGTAACGAAAGAACTGCTCAAATCCAGTACAGATAAGCTGAGATCTTTGTTACTAGGCACGAAGTCGAAGCTTTCAAAAATGTATATCTTTTAAGCATTCATGACGAAGCTAAGTGATTGAGTTGTAGAGGTCCAAAATGCCCCCATCAAATTCCGAAAAGAGCAACCAGTTGCACACGCTCTAGCTTCTTAACTAACACAGTCACCAAGTCTGGCGGCGGTACAGGCCTCTGAATTAGTTACCCTTCGCAATCAGCGCTTTGTCATCGACATAGCACCTCACCCCACCCCACTGGCTCCTTCTTCAAGCTTTTACATCTTTGCAATCTAAAGAAGACGTGAGGCAATATCACCTTTTGGGGGTGCCTCCACTCACTCACCCTTCGATGCATGTCTTAGGTCATCAAGGCCAGCCAAGCTATCTAAAGGGCTAACGGTTGCTCCGTAAAGCTTTTAAGTGCTATTCACGACTTGAAAAGAGAATAACGCTCAGGTGAGATACCGATTATAGACCACGTTGCTGAAGCCAATTGTCGATCCCCGTCGTTCTCCAGACGAAAATTTCTACTGGGGCTGGACTGCTTAACAAGTAGGGTAGTAGGAGAACCTTAAGGGTCTTTAGAGGAGAAGACTCCTTCATCTTTGTTTAAACTACTAAGTTTCACATAACAAATTCACTGCCAAGACTAAAACACCAACAACTTTTGAGGTCCCTAAGTTGAATGGTTATACCTTAGGTTCTTTTCCAAACTGGCGAAATATCTGTGATTCTACTACATCCATTGTCATATACTTCTACAAATTAGAACTTCCAAATTACTGCTATAGTATAAAATGTATAGCGGGTCTTCAATAAAATACGGCGTTTATAAGAAATTTGTGGCTAAAAAAAAATTCCATTGAGTCTTTTAATCATTCTGAATACAATAATCTTATAAGACGCTCCTAGAGGGAAACGTAGAGGCAAAAAATTGAGTTAATAGAGACACTGTCTGAGGCCAACAATTCTTACGAAAGAGCCTTCCAATGGGGTAGGACTCCTAAAATGGAAAGATGGTATCTTCAAGGGCGACAACCTGAAATACCTGCTCCATTTCCAGGCTCTTCGCTGTGACAAGATCGGCCGATTCTTATTTCTACGAAATGTAGGGTTAGAAGTCTCAGCAGGTCTGGTTGCATCTTTCACAGTGAAAACAGTTTTGACCCTATCAAAGCAGCATATATCGGGTTTTTTGATAATACTACATACGGATCCCAAGGGCACTGGTCGAAAGAAGCATGAAGTTCTCTACTGTCAGGTGAATCGACACCTTTCTTCGTGACCGCAATTCAACCGCACTCCCAGGCAACAGTTCCGTGAACATAAAAAGTCAGGAAGGTTTTCTTTCTCTTCTACTATGGTCCCTCATGGTGGATAAACTCTTAGCTAAAATGCAGGAAAGTGGTTACGTTGCTATTGGATGGCGGACTACCTGGTAGTTATTACTATGGAAAAATTCAGCTGTACTGTATTATAGACGTTGCTCCTCGGGTGGACTAAACTCCATATTTTTGTTCAAGTAGCAGCCGATTCGAGGAGTTTGCAAATGCAAATTTCGGATTGTAAAGAGACACAACAACAAAACCATCTTGAGCAAAAGAGCAGGTATAAGAATTTCCTAGTTCTCCGACTCCATGCTAAAGGAAATCTGCGTTGGAAAGAAATTTCTGATCAAAATTTCAGACCGAGGAGTCTGGTCAAATAGTTTACTTGAATTAGTTACCAGATACGTGCGCTGTGCACACTGGTACAAGCTTTCTATTGCAATGGACATTTGGTCCACCGTCTTTCGAGTCGGGGTACTAGCAACTTCAATTTTTGGCATAACCTTGAAAAGGGTTTGAAAGGCGCTTTTCTAGCTATCTTTTCAGACAGCCAGGCGGCCAACAGGGCCCCATGGAAAGGACGATAATCTCTAGGTTCGTCAAGGAGGGCTTTGGCACTCGCCAAATCTCGGCAACAATACTTCAGTTCTTCTATAGTCAATGCCCTTAATGTCAGGAATTCGCCGACCAGAAACTGTTAGCTTTTATTAGGGAGGGTGATAATTGCTTGAACTGTCAGGGTTAGGAACTATTAAGGGGCTAGAAAAGTTCACTAAGTCGCGGTGTTCCCTGGTTCAGTTGCAGTACATTACAAAAAAAAGTAACAGAAATATTAGATAGAGTATTTCTGTATTAAAGTAAAGCCTTGAAAATATTAAGAAAATTCATTCAACTCACTGGTTTCCATGTCCAAGTCTAAGGGGCGATGCTTGTCAACATCTAGGACGTCACCATCAGATTCGGTACCGGAATCATTCGACTCGCCCTGAAAGCAAAGCAAACACAAACACATACTTATTTATTCATGTAAAAATACATATATAGAAACAAAAATAACACGGACATGATATATTTGGTATACAGAAATTGTAAACGCACACGACTACATGCGCGTAAAATGCACACATACACATAAAATAAATTTGTATACGCATATATTTTTTAACTAAAACTCTCTGTTTGTATTGGTACGCGACGGAATTTGCGGACTTACGCGACGCGGACGTGCGTTCGCAAAACAATTTTATTTAAGGAACAAAAAATTGGGGG